TAATGTCCACCTTGCTCTCGTATTGCCAATTGTGTATTCGAGAGCGCTGTTATTTGTGGATAGATGTTCCTGGCTTGCATATAGGAGTAAACACTTTTCTTTTCTAAGTGTGGCTTGAAAGGTACAGCAAACAGTGCAGTTTGTTTTGCTAGAATATCTCAAAGCACTGTGTTACTGTAATATCAACGCAATTCTAAATCTCGGGTTACATTACAACCATGTAGTAAAACCGTTTAGAAGTTTGCCGGTTTCATTTTTTATGATTCCATGGAGGACAATGCGAAGTTAAGGCATAGAAAAAGACTCCATCGTCGAGTGTCCACCTTGTCAGAGCCATCGCAATTCTCGTACGCCTAACTCCGATCTCCCACATTTAATTGCTTCTGAGGTCCTGTACGCATGATACCAACCCACCTTTGTTAATCGTGCCCCTCAATGAGCTGATATCCACTCAATTATTCCCACTGTGACCGAGTCTCTCCGCAAATACATGTAAGGTATACACGACACGGCATAGCTGTCATCGTCGTAAAGATAGCCTCAACACCATGATTGCATTTGTTATTAAAGTGTACAAGCTGCACCTGGAACCAGTTTACTTACAGTTAAAAATGAGGACTTTCGTTTTCATCAAATAGTATTGTGCTTTGCATATATTTTGGCTAAACGGATAAAAACAACTATCTGTAATTGCAAGGGCTAGGTATAACAAACTAAGAATTAGCAGGTGACAACCAGATAGATATCACGGCGTGATTCACGCCTCCGTAAATATAATCAATCAAAAGCTCAGACACAAAAGAAGGGTTCGTTTTGAAAATTCGGAGTAAGTCTCACTCTTAAACAATTCAACTCCACTATGACGGTGAATCCTCTGCCATCCAGCAGTTTGCGTCAAAACCGACGCGATAGTCAGTGTAGATTTTGACTAGCGACGAAAAGCCATGTATTCCGTTGATATGAAGTGGCGTGGCGTAATTCTACTGTACGTCTATAACATTGACGCTGCTACAGTTGCCTCTGTTTTAGGTGTTTCAGAGCGCAGCTTAAGTCGTTGGTATCACGACTTTAAACGGACTGGGAACGTATTAGCCGAGAAAACAAGAAATCGATCGTCAAGGTGGCCGGATCATGTGTGCTCATTTGTGCGAGAGTATGTCAACGCCCACCCCTGTTTCTACTTTGAAGAGCTTCGAAAGGAGCTACAACTTCAATTCGGAGCTTCGATAAGCCTGACAGATTCAACAATTTGCCGTGCGTTACGGTTCGATCTGGGATTAACGCGCAAGGTCCTGACAAAACGTGCGAAGGAGAGTGTCCCTAGAGACCGACAAGAATATATCAACCGTCTGCTACCGTTTTATAGTGGACCTGATCAACTTGTCTTCGTAGATGAAACGTCAAAAGACGGCCGGTAAGTAACTTCGTTTTATCAGTTTATTTTGTTTTACTTATGCTACAAGCGGTTATTAACCTATTGTTTTGTCAAACAGATCTGTATTGAGGAAGTATGGGTGGTCCGCCAGGAATACTCCTGCTCATGCTGTACTACCATTTAGCCGAGGGAATCGAGTTTCGTTGCTAGCAGCGGTCGATGTCAACGGATTCTTTGGTTGGGGGATTTCTGAAGGTACTTTTACGAGAGCGATATTTCATGAGATTTTCAAGACCAAAATTGCGCCTTACCTGAATCGATGGCCACTACCGAGGTCAATCGTCATCATGGATAATGCAAAAATCCACATGTACGAGGAACTCCAGGAATTGGTCCATGAAACGGGAGCTATACTGATGTTCCTTCCTCCATATTCCCCAGACTTAAACCCAATTGAAGTCACCTTCTCACTTCTTAAGAGGTGGATCCAACGAAATGCAAATATGGCATTCCAAGCTGACCCAGTTGCGGTGATGAAAGTTGCGCTCTACAACTGCACACGACAAAAAGATTCTGTAGGTTTAAATCTTTACAGACATTGTGGTTATCATTCACAAAAACTTGAAATACAGGTCAACTAGATGTATTTAATGTGATCTTTCCATTTCATTCGGCTCCATGTGGTCTGTATCGACAATATTATGCGCTGGATCAGGCGTGTCAACCTCTATTGGTCCTCGAAAAGGAGGGCACAAACTATATGGCGGTAGACCAAGGGCATCGCGGAGGTCCGCTATGTTGACTTTTAGTGGAACTGGAACGCCGTGGATTTGAACGCGAATGATGCGATAAGATGCATCGTGCTGTAGCTGTGTCGATGCGATCTCTTCATTCATTGATCGTTCTTGCTCATCAATATGTAGAAGCTGTCGGAACGTCGAATTCTGGGGAATTTCAATATCACTGCCCTCGGGAAGTCTAGCCTGCGCAACGGCCATATAGTTTTGTGTAGCAGGTCCACCAGTAATACCAGACTCCTGTAAGAAAGCGGCAACACGGGGAATCTGCTCTTGAATACGCGACGCGGTAGCTCGACGGAGCGAAGTGCTTGACGTTCGCGACTCTTTGGGGATGTATACGAAGAGCTCAAGTACAAACCCGGCTTGACCACTTTTTCGACGCCGAGCTGTGTGCCACACACCTTCTAACTGCGCTTTGAACGCGCTACTTTCAACAAGTGGGACGTAGTCTTTTTGCTTGGCGTGATTTGATGGCTTCAGGAAGACTGCGAAACCAGGCTGCCATTGCCCAGGAACCATCTCTTCCAGCTTCTTCTCAATTATCTTGCGGAGCGCTGCCGGTCCGTCGGCTATTGTCAGTACAAACTCCTTGGGAGAAACTTTTTCATGAGCTATGGTGTATGGCTCGCCATTCTTTGCTGTAACCCGACAAGGCAACAAGCTTGGCAACGGGAGCTGCGGGACAGATGAGCTTGCCTTTGTAGAATAGAAACTAAGTTAAACCAATGCTTATGAATACCAAAACCAATAATAGAAGCTTTTACGATGACTTACGTTTGACGAGGCTTCGTGGCATTAGTGTTCAACCCTATCGCCACGTTGAATTACGTCCTCGAACCTTGTTCTAGTCATCGGTCGACTGGCTTCAGCATCTTATCCCGCTCCTCGTTCGTCTCCAGCGTTGCCATAACCCGGCCCCGCCCATGGTAGCACCCACCTTCTTCTGAACCTCCTTGGCCACCTGACCATCCGTCCTTTAGCTGCTCAAACGGCTCCTAGATCACCTGTGTGGCCATGACCACAGCACCACGTTCAGGTGCTTCAGCGGCGCCTTGGCCACTAGCTCTACTCTTCACGCAATCTCCAATTCTTTGTTGCACGTTGAGCCGCTCCTTATTCATCTCCGGCGTGGTCATGTCCGCGCCCACCTCTTTTGGCAACTCTGTGGCCACCAGCGCGGCCTTTCCGCAGCTACTGGAGCGGCTCCTTGGTCACCAGCTCTCCTTCTTCAGCTTGAGCAGCTCTAGGTTTACAGCAGACACGACTTTGGCCTGCAATCGCCGCCTTCCACAGGATGAGAAGCTTCCCATAGCACGTTCGTGGTCACGCACACCTCCTTCTGCACTCGACAAGCTTCAGATTCTCCACAGGCGCGACCTTCTACAGCTCGAACAGCTTCTTGTTTATCACAAACGCGGCCGGCGCCACTCCCAACTTCTTCTCCAGCTTGAGCGGCTTCTGGCTCACCGCATGCGCGACCTTGACCACGCGCACCTTCTTTTGTAGCTTGAGCGGCCTTCGCGTGGGGTCCAGACTCGGAACTGACGATTTACACTAATCAGCAAAGATTTAAATGGCGAACAAAGTGATTTTACAAATCAAAAACCGGAGTACCTCAAGTCCGAATTTGAGTAAAATCGGACGGCAAATTACATGAAAAGCACAATATATACAGGTGTACTAGTAGGTATTTGAGAAATGGGTATTTGTTACCTGTATTTGATGATCAGTCTTCATTTTTTGTTGTCACATTTTACTTACACCTATGGAACGGTTGCCACGTATCACACGAATCTACGTCGTTTTTGAACACCGCCCTGGTTACATGTAGCCCCACTTTACATGGAAGTGTCCTAAGGGCAGACGTCATCATGGGAACTCTATGGCGTGAGGCCACTATCGCATTTGGCGACATTTCACGAGATTTGTAGCAAAATCCCTCGTTTCCCTCCGCGGAGGGAGCTGCTACCGTGCAAGTTGCAGTGCAAGTTACGACCGTGTTTTGGGGGCACGGGTTGCAGTGCAACCGGTGCCCCCAAAACTCGGTCTACAAACCACCATACTGTATTGTATTGTACATGTACCTGTGGCGCGATCTATGAGCGATTGACGATGGACGATGCCTATTCACAGTAGAGTCGTACACGACAGCAGATTCATCTAGCCATGGCTATCCTCAGGTTATCAAAATGAAATCGTGAGTCTGTACTACTGACTATAATCACCGTGATCGAATACTGTACAAGTACATCATTGCTGTGTTCCTCGACAAAATCTGAGCGAGTTCACCCTGTTGTGCTATGATTGCCTCTAAACAAATTATTTGTATTGGGAGGTGATTGGATGATACCTGTACAACCATAGGGTATTGCAGGCTGCTGTCAATTTGAACTCCGACTTTTCTCGCTATGACTTGATGTAATTAAACATGTGTTCCCTACGAGAACAAAGTTGTCCTCTACCACAATGGCCTCCCGTCGTCGGTGAATTCACCTACCATGATTTATTTTTTTACCTTGGTCCGGTATGTGCGATCAATGGTATAAGGTGCTACGGATAAACAAACAATAAACGGTACAAGCGGTGCGGGCAAATCGCCAATTGCGATTGCATCAGACGAGAGTGGTTCGCATAGACATGTGAATCGATCCAGTCGCTCATTGGAAACCAGTGATCGGGCTGGCACACAGCTTTTCATTATTATATGTTAAACCAATGGGGGCCCACTAAGAACGACAGCCCCGCCATTGGTGAGCTGTCGCACTCAGTTCCCAACTTACGCACAAGCCCGCAGGTCGTTCCACTCGCCAAACCCAAGTCCGAGAATGCGTCTCACTTATTTTCTGTTGTTTATTGCGTCGACTGCTTTCCTTGCTTCTGGCAGCATGGTGTCCATTAACAACGACGCTGAAACGAGGTCGCTGCGATCTTCCAGGACGGTTGTCAACGGCGACGCGGCAGAAGAAGAACGTGGACTCGGTTTTGACTCAAGCGAGATAAAGGCTTTGAAGAAATTATCGAACAGTCAATTTCACAGGATGGCAACTGACCCGGAACACTTGAGATCGATTTTCACTTCCTGGAGCCAAGCGATGAAGCCTCTAGAAGACGCCGCAGACTACATGAGAAGTCAAGGTGTTAGTGAATCGGCAATCAAGCACTTTATCGCTGCGTACTTTAATCACTAGCTTTAAGCTTCGGTCACCCCTTGGGTTTCAATAATTGACAAAAAGAAGGAATTTAATGTGGTCGCCAGTCACTTAGGATGATTCGTTTGCTGGAAAATAGTATGTGCGTAACATTCGTTTATCGTATCTCTGGCAGACATTAGAAAAGTAAGCGGTGGAGTTGAGGAGATATTCTATTTCATGTGTAGTACTGTGCTACAAAATGACTGGACGCCGCCCAACCTGCCATAAAACAAGGCCTTTGATAGACGATACACCTGGCATACCCCGCTGCCCGTCTAACTCATATATTCCTTATTTTAGCACAACTTTTAGCCAAAATTACGCTAGCAGTAACTAGTAGCACTACGAAATTAGTAAAAAAAAAACCTTGCTGCGATGAGATTTGTCGACGAACTCTTATTGCCATCTACTGGACATTTAGATCTCTGACTTGCATCACTTCGGCGACGTTACCCTAATCCGCCAAGTACCACCATTTTTCACGACGTGTCCTCTCCGAGGACACGTCGTGAAAAATGTATCCTTCATATATTACGCGTGACAGGAATACCCGCCCAGTTAATTGATTGGTTGAAAGTGGCAGTTTCAGCTCAAAGTCTGAACACAAAGTACAAAAACGATTCCAAAATGTACAAAACCGATACAGGAATCAACACATCCTGGGTTGATTGTACAGCAACGCTAAAATACGGCATACGGATTGGCTGAAACTGTTTTATTAGATTGAGGTTGTACTGGGATAGCCTGGAATCCCAAAAAAAATGTTAATTTTGCTGAAGCTGGTAGGGCGGTTGGGCTAGGGTGTAAGAGTAGGGGAGTGCAGCCTCTGAGTACAGACAACGACGGTGAAATCCGCCATACCTTTCAAACACGCCCGAGTCCGTACATGGTTTTCCCACTCCGGATTTGTGCACACCTTAAAAAACGGCTTTGGCTGGCCGTCGTGATAGGAGCAAGCTCGCTTCGTGTTTAAACTTCAGAGATGGCCGTAAACTAGATCCTTAAAAGTTGTACGAATTATAATATATTGAAGGTCCCGTAAGATAGGATGAGGTTGTAGGAATTCATTGGATGTTTTCATGAAATTGGAGCCACTGACGATCTTTGAGGACAATGCTGTCACGGATTTTTTTACAGAGCTGGCGTACAGCTTTTTTATGTCGGAGGCCCAGCGTTCGTGGGATTGAGTCGTTAGTTTGTCAACGCCTGCCCGATACAACAGCGTCGCGCCTCCTACTCTCGATGAGTGTGAGCTGTACATCCTTGGACCATCGTCCAGCCTCTGGATTACGCGATACACCTGTGCTGGCGACATTCAAGCTGGACTGCCGTTGCCTGTTAGGTACATGGCTGCTGGAATGGCTCGTAATAATATATTTCCCGCCTTCAACAGACATCGGGCACCAAGGACCGGGTACACGAACTGGTGACCGGAACAGTTTAGCATCCTCAGAGTGGTTTCTCCAAACTGGTTCGTTTTTGAGCCAGCCAGACGAATGTGAACTAATGTTGCTAGTCGTGGTGATGCCGTCGGTACCCCGTTTCCGTCCAGGATGGCGATGTTCTGAGCTCTCAGTGCAAACCACGCAAGAGTTCTACTTCCCTAAGAAGTAATTTCTGACCGCCAGGGGAGGGGGGGGGGCAAAGAACCCCCCGTAGGGCTTGTTCAGAACCTTTGGCGGAGAGCCCCGGATAGTGCTTGTTTAGAAAGTTCCACTAGGTCACTAGGTTGAGGAACGCGTAGCATTCCTCAAGCATTTTGATGACAACAGGAGTCTTGTGACGAGCGGGGTTATCAATGAGACCGATGTCCTTCAGGAGCATGCGCACCTGTGGATGGCCACATGAAAGTCCAAGCCTCTTGCTGCAAAAATGTGACGGATTCCAGATGCGCGCTGAACGGGTTAGCCTGAACATAAACCTGCGTGGAATCCCCACAAGACGAAGTCGGTGATGTATTGAATGCGAGTACGTCGTCGAGCGTAGGTAGAGTTGACGACGGTTGCGCAACCAAAACATTCGCGAAAGGCGTTGATTTACTGAGTGTTCGTGGCATTCGACCAAGTGTGCACGAATATCGACTCCACATTGCTAGACAGATGCTGGGATGGGCCAGTAACCAACCGCACGTGAGCGATGCAAACCAAGTTAGCGTTGGAAGTAGATGTCGCTTGCGTCAGCTTTCGTGTTGTAAGCCGCCGTGATGTGGGATGGCAAGAACCAAAAGTTATACTTTGATTTTCACCAACTCAGTAGTTGAATACAGAACATCCAAGACTTTGCGGGTGCCCAAACCAGCAAAACCTTGAAGGGCCAGAGTGCAGCGCCGTTCATACACTTCTCTCACGATTTGGTAACCTTTATGAAGGATGTGCGACGAGAAGAATGGGTAAACCGCCTTCTTATTAATTTACTTTTTACATTGTGACCTAAAACCGCTTGTTGCTTAGTATTTGTACAGATTTACTGATTCAATATTTCAGAGAGCAGCAAACGCGATGGCTTCAAACGTATCTTGCTGGTAAGGAAAGCGGTGAGAAGGGTCTAAGTGCGTTTATGAGACTATGTCAGCGGTTTGCAGCACGGTAATATCTTTTGATTTTGCTGATTTTATATAATTGCTTTATTAGATAGTGTGATAGTCGTGGAGCTACTAACACATCCGGTTGGTCATGTATACTCAGTGCAGGAGAGCAGTTTTATGGATGCCAAAGTGTGGGCGATATATGTAGGAGAGCTGCTCAAGCTCGAGATCGAGGCACTATCAGTGCTTATACTCGATAACTTCGACGCACATGTTTCAAAAGAAGGACTTGATGTTGTTGTCGAGACAACGTCGGCCCTGGTTTGCCAGCTACCGCCCAACAGTACAGCGGCCTGCCAGCCACTAGACGTTGAGGTTTTCAACTTTGCTTTTTGCTAATTATTCGTTTTATCTACCAATAAAAATGTGCGACGGATTTTCCTGTCGCGAAAACAAAAAAAGAACTACTATGGAGGATGGCTTTCAGAGGGTGGCGGATTTTACCGTCGTTGTCTGTACCGATCTGGGCACGATGATTTCTTAATGCCATCTTCGTTTGCCAGGTTTCGGCGGACGTGTAATCAATATGATGTGCACATGGAGCGGTATTGTATCATTGGTGCGATGGCTGTGGCTTGCCCAGGACTCGCCCTACGTGTGGGTTGTGAATGCGCAGGACAGGAGCTCCCGATAGAGTTATGTCGAAATTGCTGGTCAGATCATCTTTCGAGATCACTGCTAAACCCGTCTCCTCTAGGCTGGAAATAAACGCCAGTGTCGTTTGTGCTGCGCGAATGAATAACGCAGATTACAGAGTCTGTTACACGTTTATTCGAGTACGAGCAATGAAAGCTATGAACGGACTGCGCGTAGACGCTGTCGTAGCGTCACATCAGGGCTGGTTTGTATGAGGATGTTTCATCCCAGATTTGGCTTGGGCCTCTTCGTATCATGGTCGTAGTCTTGTTAGTACGAAACGGGTGGCCACGGGTGTCGTAGTAGATGTGTTGGCGTAATTTTCAGAAGGATTGGGACGTGCGTCAGTGGTGGAAACAAAAAAAAAGCACATTACGCTAAAATGTCATTCAAGGCGTTTTTGTAACATTGGCGCTAACGATCGCCAATGACCTTGACGATTCCAGGCTTTCTACAGGCACCCTACCCTCTGACGAGCGCTAATGGACCCCTTAAGCGTTGAGGTTACGGACCTCGCAAGGTCCTCATCTTTCTCCATCTGTAGCCAGTGTCCCATGTCGCTCTTAGCGTACGTCTGTACGCCCCTCCAACGAGTCTCTGCCATTTTCACAGTCTCGAGCTTCACCTGTACATTTTTACGTAGCTCGATGGCCTGGTTGACCAGGAGGTTGGATATCTTGTTATGAACGCGGTAGCAGTGTCGCCATGACACGACTTGAATCTTATCGGCTAAGTGTCGATACCGCCAGAAATAATTGAGAAGGTGCGTCGTCCGTGGTGGGGTGCGCCGCTTATGCTGCTGGATGATGAGTTGGCTGTCCCCAACCGCGTGAAGAGGGGTCTAACCCTCGCGCTGGCAGACGCTTAGGCCAAGAAGGAGGCTCTGGAGGTCATGAAGGAGGACCTGAATCAGCCAAGGAGCTGGTAATGCTCCTGTAGACGACAACGAGCTTGTTGGTTAGCCGACCCGATCGACTTGGCGCCTGTGGTAGTGCCACTGGATGTGACGTGCCGTTGCCCGCGCGTCACGTTGGGGAGCTGTTGTGAATTCAGTATGCTCTGCAAGTTGAAGCAGCACTCGCATTGGAGCAGTCTCCCACAGGAGAGACCCGGCAAGTGTCCCGTGAGTGAAGGTCGCTGGGGTTTCTCACGTTGTATTTACATTTAGTTAGCTCAGTCTCCATTTCGCAGGGTAAGAAACGCGTTAGTGTCGAGAGAGCTGAAGGCTAAGTAGTCAATAGGAATTCGTGTGTGCATTACATTGGATTCCTAGCTTACGTCGAGAAGTCTCTGCATACGCGCAACAGGGTTATGAGCCCAAGCTGTCAGTAAGGACAGTTGTGAGCACTCTGAAGATCCAAGATGTCAAACATGGTTGAACGCAACAAGAACGGACGCCCTATCGGTTGGCATGGCCAATGCTGGGTGTACTACAAGCAAATGATGGAGATCGCGTTCGAGGACAAGAACGTTCTCGAGTACGCGAGTGGAACCAAGACTTTGGCCTCCAACGCGACGGACGAAGAGAAGTCGAAGTTCAAGGAGGGCCAAGTCAAGGTGAAGCAGATCATTATGTCCTCGCTGTCGATGGAACTCGGACAGCAGGTCATGATGAAGAAGACCGGTACAGAAATGTGGAAGTACTTGATGGATACGTACGAGGGTGCGGCGAACGCGGCGACCCGTACGAACCAAGATAATCATTCTGTACAACAAGCTTCAAGCTGCTAAATGTAAGCCGACCTGGGATGTTCGTCTACATGTTAACAATATGTTC